GGGGGGGGAGCTGGGGGGAGGGTTTAGGGGGGTTCGGTAGCTCTTTGTTTGGGGTCCTGTAGCCAAAGAATGATAATATATTTTAATATATTTGCAGATATAGCAAAACACTTTCAATTGTAAATTTAACAGACTAAAAGGTAATAGATATAAAAAGTTAATTGTTGGGGTGTACATGCACTTTAAGAAACCTCCAATCATCTAACAAGAGCAGTAACCATCATTGCTTGTTCTGTTATACGGCACCAGGTCAGCCTGTGCACACCGAGTGAGAACACTCCCACGGAGAGCCTTGCCCGGCTGGTCAGCATGGTGTTCCAGTGGTTCCACTCCACGGCTTACATGATGGACGATGAGGTCGGCAGCCTGGTTGAGAAGCTCAAACCTCAGTTTGTCACCAAGTGGTTGAAGACGGTCTGCGACATTCGTTTCGACGTGATGGTCATGTGCCTGCTGCCCAAACCCATGGAATTTGCCAGGGTAAGTTCTGAGCCTGACGGTGAGCAGCGTTATGTGCCCACAGCTGACCCTCAAGGGCAGGCGCATCTTTTACTAAAAGGAAACCTTAATGGTTTTGGGTCAGTTTTATATTTTTACAGCACAGAATACACTGAGTGGCCAGATCATTATGACCACCTCATCAGTACTTGGTTGGGCCGCCTCGTGACTCCACGAGATGATGAAAGGTGATGCGAGGAATCTGACACGGCACTGTTGCCCTTCTGTTGTCTTGTACCAGTCTTGCCACTCTCCGTTCTGCCCTAACATTGACTAGTCGCTGACGGCCACAATTCGCACGTTCAGACCCAGATTTCGGCTGACAGTCCGGTCTTTAAACACTTTAACAACAGCTGCTCTTGAACATTTAACGAATTCTGCTGTTTTGCTGATACTCGCTCCATGGCTCCGAGCGCCAACAATCATCCCACATTCAAAGGCTGTTATCACGTTGTTTCCTCGTATCTTCAGAAAACAAATCACTTCTACTGTCGTGATAAATAACCTGCTTCACTATTTATAATGGTCTGGCCCTCTAGCAACTTCAGCGCCAAATTATAGCTAATTTGCCTACAAAGGTCAGGTGGTCATAATAATCTGGCCACTCAGTGTATATAATAATCCGGCCACTCAGTGTATATACAGCATAATAAAACTCCAAACAGCAGTACACAATCCTCACACAAAACATATATGAGCCATCTTTTTTGGCAACCAATACAGGTTGTGGTATTGAGAGAAAAAAGAGAATAGAAAATGTCCCCCAATTCAGAACAGCAATGGAAGGACAGTCATTGTATTGGCAGACATTGGAAGGGACAATACAAAATAAGCAAGTATACCACATTACAGTCCTGGTCCCCCTGCAGATGTGTTACATAATCATAACCATCCTAAATAAGAACAGGCTATGGTGACATAACACAGCAGACTTTGTACAGAACAAAGAAGGGGGAGTAGAGGAGGAGGAGTCACGGTATTCGGCTTGAGCTACTGAGCTCTGTAAAGCAGATATCATGTGGAAATCATGTGAAAAAGCAGCCTAGGTCTGGACAAAAATGAGAATATAAAATATTCCTCTGCTATAGTTTTTATTTATTTTCCTGATTAAAAAATATTTGTCATTTTCTTTTTATTTATTTTTTAGTCCCAACCATGATAAAGAAGGAAAAAATATACACCGTATGGCCAAATGTTTGTGAACACCTAACCCTAACACTACTTGGACATCCCATTTCAAAACCATAGGCAATAATATGGCGTTATCCCCAAAAGATCTTGGTATATGTCTGCAGGCGTTTGCCATTCAGGCTAAAAGCATTTGCGAGGTCAGGTACTGATGTTGGACAAGAAGACCCAGCTGACAAATGGCATGAAAATTCATCCCAATGGTGTTCAGTAGGGTTGTGCTCAGGTCTCTCTGTAGGCAACCTAAGCCAATTAGGATGTTATAGAACTAAAAAGCAGAGATTTTAATGTAGCCCTAAAGCGAGCCGAGACTTGGATGATTGTCCTCCCACCATGATGTAGCCCTAAAGTGAGCCGAGACTTGGATGATTGTCCTCCCACCATGATGTAGCCCTAAAGTGAGCTGAGACTTGGATGATTGTCCTCCCACCATGATGTAGCCCTAAAGTGAGCTGAGACTTGGATGATTGTCCTCCTACCATGATGTAGCCCTAAAGTGAGCCGAGACTTGGATGATTGTCCTCCTACCATGATGTAGCCCTAAAGTGAGCCGAGACTTGGATGATTGTCCTCC